TTCCTGATATGTTGTTTTTTTCTTTGGTTTCAGTTTATTCGTAGTTAGTCTTTTGTATTTTTATTAAACTTTCTTTTAGTTACCTGTCAGGCTTTCCTAGAGTTTCAGGCAAAGGCGAACTTCAAATGATAAAGATCAGATTAGGACTGACTAAACTACTCAAAAATTCATACTACGTGGATGAAGAAGACACTAACGTGAAAATAAGCGGTCACACCGGAGAAAAAAAGAAAATAAACAAATAAAAAAATAACATGGACGGACCTCGCTAGACCGGGCGAAACAACTCTAATCAAAATAAAAGGGGAAAGAACGAACCATATTAATCTGGTGGCAGATGCTACAGTAGATGTTTATTGACCTGTCCACACCTACTCACAACTTCTGAACTCTTCAACATCTGTCTATATTTCTGAGATATTGTAACTATTTACACTATTTACATCGTCCGGACTGTTCTCATCTTTATTGCCATATTCACGATGTTTTATACATCGGCCTTCTTCAGCTGGCATATGTTGGAATTTCAGACCGAACCCTTTGTAATCAAAAAAGGGACTTGACCCAAAGTGTTGTGAGTTCAATGCCTGGGCACAGCAGAGAGAACAAAAATTTGGAGAGCCGAGTTACTGAAGGCAATTAACTTAAAATGAGGCATAAGACATGGCATGGCATGTGGAATTAGAACAATCTAACTCTGTGGACTAAATAAAGGGATAAAAGGTTCGATTCGAAATTCCAAACTATATCACATGAAGAAGGCCGGATCGTACAACGACCGCAACGTCGTGAATATGGCAAGAAAGATGAAGAAAGGACGATAATTCGAACGATTTAAATTCTGCTCTCTTATTTAATAAACTTGTCTCTACTCAGCTTCAGAAGTGTTAATTACTTTTTCAAACGTATCTTACACTTATAAAAGTTACCAGAGTTTACTTCTTTTCAGTACGTTCTTGCTTGTTTTCAATGATGTTTGTTATTCCACTTTCATCTTTCAATAATAAACTGGCACGATTTAAGCTTACCTTGTGTTTACAATATGTTTTTTTTGTATTCATTCTTAGCAGCTGCTACATATAATTTCTCTTCTATTCTTTATTCACTACTTGTGTTTTAGAAGAAGATTGTGGAAAAGACGACGATGGATCTGTGGCGATAAGAAACATGAATGACAGATTCTTTTTTAAGGAGTGAGGAATTATCAGTAGAAATAAAAACAAACTTGAAAGAAGTAATATATTTGGATGTAAATTTAAACTTGAAAAAAAACAGGTGATTATAAAAATGTCGATAAAAAAACAATACTGTTCTGACCTCTCCCCAGTAATAACTAATAAGCACGTATGCATATAGCGAGTAGGGTGTCTACCAGTTACGGGAATATTGAAATAATAAACAAGGCTGAAAAGGTGTATCAGATCGCCGGTCATAGGTCTTAACTTATGTATAATAAATCATTAGAAAAGAAAGACAAAAGGAATAGTGGCTAGGAATTGAAGCTAAACGTGTTGACAAAGTTTTTATCGTTAGTGGCAAACAAGTTCGTTGGGAACACCAAATGAAAAAAAATCACTAACAATTTGCGTTAGCGACAATAGTTTAGAACTAATCCCGATTCACGCTAGTAGCAACAGCTACTGTCCATTCACTAGTCACAAGGCAAGACTAAAAGATTAAACGGTCAACCCCCAACCGCCAACCCCCGTAATTTGGTTTCGCGTTAGATAGTGTCTACTTTGTGCATCTCGAAAAGTTTCGTTTGACAATATAGTCTTTAAATATTTTGATTCTGGGGGGGGGGCGGCCATTTAATTTACATGCAAGTTACGTGTGAACACTTTGCGACGTGAAGTCTTTTGTCATTTAATCATTATCTGTGGGCAGGGTGGTCTTTCGTCACCACTACATGAATAACACATCACCTTACATAAAAAAACTGCCGAGAAGAATATTGGTAGAATATTCCTGAAATTAAATAAGGATCATTTTGTCGCATTAGCAAAAAATGAGCAAACTATTTAAAAAATAAAAAACGTGAAATCATTTTGTATAATAGAAATCATTTATTATAATAGAAATATACAAATGCGTATCAATGACCAGAACAAAAAGTTACCAGCGAAAGGAATGGTGAAAACAGTGAAACTCGCTGTAATTAAAGGATTTAAAATGCTTTTCCATTAAGAGTATATTGTCTCTTCTTCTATGTACTATGTCCCTTTAGAACGTTGGCGAACATGACTCTCCACAATTTCCTTCACTTTGTAACCCTTAATAAATTTTGTCTTTTTCTATCTATTCGAAACCCTATTCTGTCATCCATTTACTCACTAAGTAGGTTATGTGTTGTTTTCCTCTGCCCTTTTGCCTTCAATCTGTCTTGTGAATATCAAAATTACCAGGCCATCTTTCCTCATTATGTGCCCTAGAAGTTTCAACTGTCTCGTCTTAATGTTAATACGAGAAAGTCAAGGTAAGAAGTTACAAAATAATAATAATAATAATAATAATAATAATAATATTGTTTAGAATTGTATTTTCTTTGAAAGTGACATGTTGCTGACATGTTTTGCTGAAAAAAATTTACATTCATAGATATGCCTCCCACCATTACAACTGATAGGCATGAGGGGTTAGGAAAAATATGAATTTTTATTTTTAAATTCAATTTATCTGTTCTGAACCTTTTGGGCTCTCATCGAATAGTGAATAAAAAATCCTCTTCCACATTTAATTCGAGAAAGATAAGGCAAGAAGTTACTTTGAATTAAAAAAAAATGGTAATATTTTGTAGCACTTGAAATGATATATATATATATATATATATATATATATATATATATATATATATATTGTTGGATATGCAGGGACTCTAATTTCTTGCAAATGAAGGGGGGTTGTTAGCAATCCGGTAGGAAAAAAAAATAATACCTATCAAAAGGGCTGGAAAAGGCCAGCTATCTAGGAGTGGTGTCTCAATAAATCACCGTGGAGAAACCAACGGAAAACTACTCCACTATCAATCATGAGAAAACTCATGGCTCTTCACTATCAAATTAAGAAAACGTATATAGTTAATCAAATTAGTACGGAAGTAGTGGATGACGATGGTGGTGTAAAAGAAAAGTTTATATAGAAATTGCTGAGAATGAATGAAAAAATGATATTATAACTATAAAGTTAAATCATAGGAAATATTTGAATGTTATAGCATTGTCAGTTTATTATTGGAAGTTCAATGATGATCTACATCTCTCAAAATAAGCTGGAAAATTGTAAAAATATGTAAAAACTGTAAAATAGTGGGGACAAATGTAAGCTATATTTGGATGAAAAAGTGTCAATTTTGCAGCTCAGTGGAGACGAAGGGTTATTAAATAAGAAATCAGAAGTTGTGAATAGTTGTAGACATGTCAATAAACATTTATTGTGTCATCTATCACCAGATTGAGGTCTTTCTTTCTTTTCCCATACATATTTTTGGTTACAGTAAACGCGCTCGGATTTTGTAGGTCCTCCCGTGTTTTATTTTTAATTTCACCATGTTGACAACTATATTCATTTTTTCTATCTTTCTGTATGATTAATTTTTGTTTAATTAGTCTCCCTGAGTTCTTCATTATCTGAAGATTGCCTTAGCGTGAAACACAGAATCACGATTTCAGATCAGAATCCTTGAGTGTTTATTGTGGGTGGGTGGGTTCCTTAGAGCTCCGTTTCAGTTTGATTTTCAGAGGCATTGAGTAATTTTGTTTTAGGTAGGTGTCTCTATTTTATTCTTTAGAAGGCTTATTTGACACGGTTTGATTCTGAAATCCCCTTTACTGATTACTGGCGTTTATTCTTTCTCTCTCTATTCCGATATATATATATATATATATATATATATATATATATATATATATATATATATATATATATATATATAATAAGTAACTCCCAAAACACTCTGCATAAGATTGCACACAAAAAAAAATGATCTACGCCATCGCAGAACTTTAATATATCGATCTTGGACTTATTTGCCTGGGAGTATAAGGGTTCGTATTCTCACACAGTACAGTCACTGACCGCTTGATGATTGCATGAAAGTGTGTGAAACTGGCAGTCACTACCCACGGAAGATATATATGTATATATATATATATATATATATATATATATATGTTTGTGTGTGTGTTTGTGTGTGTGTTTGTGTGTGTGTGTGTGTGTGTGTGTGTGTGTGTGTGTGTGTGTGTGTGTGTGTGTGTGGACGTAGAAATCAATACAACATGGTTATTGCCAGTTAAGATCTTCAGACGAGACTACATGTAAACAACAAAACATGCAAATAGCACATCACTTTCAAAACATATATTGGACTTCAAAAATAAAACTCAGCAAAAATACAAAGAAACTTACAAAAACATTCATTCAAAACCATGTAACTTTTGCTTAGAGAGGAAATATCAATAATCATTTTTCTACAAAAAGGTAAATTCCTAAACAATAATACGAAAATAAATTACTTATATGCTACAAAGAACCCATAAGTTAAAATAAATTCCTATTACCATCCCACTAGCTAGATATCTAATAAAATTTGTTTCCAATACCAAAATTTTAAATTAAAGTAAATTTTTATAAATAATTTATATATGTTCGTTACACCCTCTAAAATCCCCATATATTGACCAATCGAAATCAAATAGATAAAAGGTTACAGTTGATTTTATTAGGGTGCATAGCTTAGTACAATAAATTTTCATTAATTAACATACAAAATACTCTCACTATTTTAAAAATAATTTAATGACTAAAATAACAAATACTTATTTAATAAAAATTCAATATTGTTTTTTGCATATTTTTGTTTAACTTTTTATATACAAGAATCCAAGAATTTCCAGTTCACCTACTTTTGCGAGAACTATAAGCACATCACAAGGCCAAACACAGCAAATTTGGCTCCAGAAAGAAATATTTACGCATGGCCAGTTGTATGTCGCATGCTGAAGAGTAAGAAATCCTAAAAATTATCTACCTCTGCTCATTATCTATCTATCGATCCCTGTCATTTCATATCTATCTATCTATCTATCTATCTATCTATCTATCTATAGAAAGGATTTACTTGGACGAATGTGATATAAATATATTATATGTAATTTTGAGAAAAGACTTCTTCAAACAATTGAAATCCTTTTGTGTTCTTGTTATTTTTGCCATAACATTTCGACCGATCTATTCTTAAAATTTCTTCAGTTATATATTTTGTACAAATTATAACACATTAAGAAGGCTGAAGAGAACATTTTCGACCGGTGTCTTCATCAAAAACGCAAATAACGCTATTTATAATATTAGCCATTTACTTGTTCGGCATCCATTGATCGGGCAGCCAGTCAGTTGAAAATTATAAAATTTTTCTCTTAAACAATGTTTCAGGTTTCTCAATTCCAGTAGGTGTTATCGCTCTTTCTAATAATGAGAGGGATTTCCTTCCTAACCTTTTATTTGAAGTAGTGTGGGAAATGTCAGCATTTTGATTATGTTTTCGAGTTACATATGGTATCTATTTTAGTTGTTGCTGTTGAAATATCTCGTGATGTAGTTTCTGTTATTTGAGGTAGTTCTTTGTGATTCTGTAGCGCCACTCCACAAGCTTCGAAGAAATGTGGTTTTCACTTAGACCCATAGGATTCAAAGTAATTTTTAACCATTGCTCCGAGAAAGCGGCTGAATACAGTTTAGATATTTCTGAACGGGTTGGTTGATATGCATGATATCCATATGAAAATCCCGATCTGACGAGACTATTTAAAAAATGACACTAGATTTCCTGTTAATGTGATTGTATCTGTACAGTGACCCAAGAAAAGTTTTTGGTGAGGAGAAATAAACTACACCCAAATTCAAAATTTAATTACGTAATCCCTGCTCAACATAAATAAACAGTATTTGGAACTAGCGTCGAGTATGTCCTCTATTTGTTAATTTCAGTGCTTGTATTCGATTTTTCATGGATTTGATCAAGTTATAAACAATCATCTAATCCATATTTTGCAACTCCTTTAGCAATGTTTCTTTAAGGTTTACCACTGACGTGATTTTGGTTGCATGCTCTCGAATTTTTCGATCAAGGTGCTCCCAAACGTATGAAATGGCGCCCCATCTTCTTGAAAATGGTAGACATTCTTGTCAATCTGATTGGTTTCTAATAGTGGGAGTAGTCCTTTCTCTAATATTTGACAGTATTTTGGACCATTCAACCGCTCGTCAACAAGAATTAGCTCAGATTTCTCTCCAAAACAGACAGTGCCTCACACCATTACCCCAATCCCTCCATGTTTCACGGTCACCTGCAGACATTCAGTGTTTCAAGTCTCATTCTGATTTCTCCAAACATAAACCTGTCTCGAATTCGAATTTACTTTCATTTAACAAAAATACAGACTGCCAAATTTCATAATCTTTGCTATCGAATTCACTCACCCAGTCCATACGCCTGTTCTTGTTAATCTCTGAAGTCAAGGGCTTCTTTCTTGTAACTCTTCTTTGATGACGTAGCTCTTTCAGAATCTTTTTCACCATATATGGCGACATTTCCATCCTGTTGGCGATATCTTTGACGCTCTGACAATGGTTTCTGATGACTTCCCTCTTCAGTGCCCTTTTCGTTCACTCAGACACGATGGCTGGTCTTTCTGAACGTTGTCCACAATACAATAGCCTTTTCACTGAATTTCATGACAATATTATTAACCGTTTGAAAAACCTAGCAATTTCTCTATTTGACTTGCCACACTGATGCCATCCTATTATTTGCCCTTGTTGAAATTCACCAATTTTCTTACTTCACTTATTTTTTCTTACTAACATGGTAAAAAAAAAGAGACGTTATTACACAAGCTAAAATTGCTGTAATCAAGGGTGGCTAAAAACTTATCATAGCCCACAGTAGCAATGACAGTATTGGGTGAAACTACCTGTAGCTCAACTTATTCTATGTTCAGTTTTGCTATCTCCTTTACTAAATGTGTTAAATAAGGAGTAAAATTATTCTGTTTCAATTTATAAAAGTGACTTGTAGAAGCAAAGTCTCTCAGATTAAATTGCTTAGGTTTGAACATCGCCATTATGAATACGCGCTTTTATCTTTTTTGTAGAAACCGAGTGAGATGTGCTGCTATTTTAACCACTGGACACAGCCTGAGTTTCCTGACAATCAGACAAATAATTTCGTAAAGACTAAAACATGGCACCTATTTTATTTAAACACGGCTTAGTTTGACACAAGGCCATAATAATAGAGTAGAGTTTCAATCACTAACAATGCTTTGGGAGACTGACTTGGGGGTGTTTTCTTCATCAGGCACTTTGGTAGTTGTAATAATAAATTAGTCAGAAAACATTCGGTAACGAACAAACAGCGTCACTGTTGGTAGAAATTGATAAATTTATTTTTCTTGAAATAGTTATTTTTTTCCAGGAAATTAGACTTTTCAAACTCACTGTCTTTCTTGTATTGTCGGCCGTTTCTTTCCTAATCGTTTGTTTAAAGTCGTGTGGAAAATCTTGATTTTGTCATTATTTTCCTGTTTAGTTACATGTGCGATCGACAATTAAAGAGCTTTACCAAATAACGAAAGCTACATGTTTCGAAGACATTTGTCATCTGGTAAAGTTCTTTATTTGTGATTCATAACGCATGTCTATAGAGTCTGATGAAGAATTGTCATGAAGACCGAAGGCATTCATTCGCTTTGATAAGCATTTACGTCGCTTAAGTAAAGATATATAAGGTAAGGAATTGAAGCACCTAGTGAAGGTCGGGATGGCTATTGTGGTGTAATGGATATCCGTTTGAATTGAGAAATCGTTGACCCGAGTTCGAATTCCAGTCGGGTTCGTTACATTCACTTATGGGCAAATACCCTTGGGAAAGGCATGAATTCATCACCACCTGATGCCTTGTAGATCTCGCCACTTTAGGCAAAGGCTAGAAGAAATTTACTTGAAAAATAAATCCATTTCGCATGTCGTCACAAAGAAAGGAACTGGTTCCTCCAACTTCGATCCGCGACAGAAAATAATGGACAAATCTGGATTTGTACAATGGTTCGAACAAACACAAGAATGGAACAACGCACGGCGCCGTGGAACTCTCTGATTTTGGGCCGCTCGCCGATTGGTGTATCGCCAACGGCATTTTTGACGACAATTCAACGACTGAAGGTCGAATTTATCAGCAATAGTCAGCAAGAGTATCTTGGTTTACGGAAGAGTCACTCTAAGTATATATGAATGTGTCGGTGGGTAGGTATAAGTACATTTGTTGTGTGCTTTAGATATTAGTACTTTACATTTCCCATCCGTTGAAATGAACACTTTAGTAGGGTCGATGTTCATTGATCTTTTTTTTTCCGAGATCCCAGTTCAAAAAAAAAAAAAAAAAAAAAACTATGAATATTTCTCAGTAAAGAAGAAATTCCATTTTCTCAAACTCAAAGTTTCCACCGTTTCTTCACTCGCGTTTCCACACGGACATACCCCACGTACACGCAGAAGGGCAAATATTCAATAAAACTAATATTTGTATTATATTTTCTTTCCAATCACAGCTCGCTTCTCCTGTTTCCTAAGAAGAAACCAATTTATTTCTTCGCCAGTCAATCATACAAATCTCGTCTTTTCACACGCATTGATCCCATGAGGACAATTACAAATGCAAAAAATAAATAAAGCATTGAGAGCAAGGGGAATTGCGTTCTGCTATTTGCGTCATTTTCACGTGTACCAATGTTTTGACAGTGCGCATGCGTATTCGTTCAGGAAGGTGTGTTGAGATAATTCGTTTGCTTTTGAGAAGAGAGTCTCGTGTTAAATAGTCTTTTTTTGGACCGGCTTGAGTCATCTTGTTTTTTTCTCTCTTTCTAATCAGCTTCTATCATTAGTTTTGGTCTTTGTTTTTTTGTTCTCTTTATCCTATACAGTCTTCCTATTTTTCTTTTTTATCCTTCAAATTGTTGTCTCTATTTTCCCCATAATTTTTACCTTTTGCCGACCTTTTCTTTTTCTTATTTGCATCTTCTCTTTACTTTCCTCCCTCTTCTTCCTTCCCTCCTTGTATTTCTTCCCACATTCTCCTTCTACCTTTTCCCTCTACCTTCTTCTTCCTTTTCTTCTTCCTTCTCACCTTCTAGTTCTTCTTCTTTCCATTCTCTTTCTTCTTCTTCTTCTTCCATCTCCCCTTCTTTCTCTTCTTCCTCCTCCCCTTCTTCTTCCGCTTCTTCCTCCTTCTCTTCTTCTTCTTCTTCATCAGCGATATGTTATCCTGTTTTTTCTTCAATTCTTTTTACTTGATAGCCAAAATGATCTTTTCTAAAGCCAATTTTTCTTCTAATCTTGTGTTTAGTTCTTTTCTCGCTTTTTATACAATTCTTCAACATCCATTCTCTACTAAAATCCGAGTGTAGGGCTTTGATATATGGAAAATAATCAAAGGCTGGAATATTTTTGCATACAACTGTTATATATATATATATATATATATATATATATATATATATGAAATAGAATAAATCCTAAGGAGCCAGGAAAACTTACCTAGACGCTTTTTTTCGTCTTGATCTTTTGTTTTTGTTTTTTCTTTTATTTTATTTCTAATTTTTTCCTGGCATATCTGCAAGTTGAGCTATCCGAGGTTTTCTAAACGAGTACTATATATATATATATATATATATATATATATATATATATATAGATAGATAGATAGATAGATAGATAGATAGATATGTATACAGAGGATGCGATGGATAAATTATCGTCTCAATTACGCAAAAATTAAAATAGCACGGACATCTCATTTTAACAGATATATTTACTAAAATTACATAAAATTGTCTTGAAATAAAGATTAAATTTATCCAATAAAATCGCCATTGGCTTGAAACACGACCTCAAGACTACTTCGGAACCTCCAGTGGTCTCCTTGTTCAAGGTGTTGAATGCGGCCATAACCTTTGCTTTCAGTTCATCTTTGTTGTTACTAGGTGTTTTGTTGGACTTTCGCTCAACTGCGTCCCGCACCCAGTAATCAAGGGGGTTGCAGTCTGGGGAGTTAGGTGGCCAGATGTAAGGGGTGATATGGTCGCAGATATTGTCTGATAGTCATGACTATGTTCTGCTTGTGTGGCATGGTGCAAAGGCCTGTTGCGAGGCATAGGGTCTTTTAGCAGACATAACGTTGCTATCACTAGTGATCACTCCAAACACTTTCTTAATCACCATTAGACTCATCCAACTCTTTTCGAATCCTCTGCTCTTTTTCTTACAAACGTTGGCCAACTGATCTATTCATCCAACTGATCGCCAAAATAAAACAACGTGCATGTGCAAAATTAAATTTATTAAAAAATTATAACATAAGCATGTTATAACATCATTGCAAAAATAGCTATTTTGTTTCAACACTATCATATTCATTATCAATAACCAATATGCTGTCTGTGTGGTAATTAGAATTCCTTTGTCTACATCTTGATATTCTCTGGGAAACTGGAAGTTTGAAATGATCTAGCGTCACGTAATCGACCTGATGAGTGTGACGTCATGTGTAACGACTATTAAGGCGAGGCTGCACAAAATAATTCGATTGATTTAATTTTATTCATATTATATTATTTTTTTTAATACTAATATAATATTAGAGCACATGAATGGTATCATATGCACTTCAAGATACCTTCTCCTGTGGTGAATGATATTTTATTTAATTTGTGTTGTTTATTCTGCGTAATAAAGACTTCTATGTTTTTGTGTCAATCATTACAGTGGGTGCTGTAGAGTATTTTGATTGTATCTACTAATATTTGTCTTATATTGATAGTTGTATTTTGTTCATACGTGAGGTACTGTTTGATGTGTGCGTGGATTGTACTGAGTTTAGATAGGTGGCAGGTCAATCTACGAGAGAGTGTGGTGCATGTGTATATATATATATATATATATATATATATATATATATATATATATATACATGAATCATGAATCATTCAAAAAAAAACAGATATAGAAGTTAATGATTTAAATGGCGAGAATACATCTTCGCAAACAATTTTAACCTTTATATGAATGATATGATCCCTGTTTATAAATTCCAGTTGCATAAGGTCTTTTTTAGTTTTTACAAGCTTTCGTCTGTTCCTACATACATCCTCAGGTATGGAAATAAATTTGTTCTTGTTTTTTACTTATAAACAGGGATCATATCATTCATATACAGGTTCGGGGTTACTGTACTTCATTAAAATTGTTTGCGAAGATGTATTCTCGCCATTTAAATCATTAACTTCTATATCTGTTTTCTTTGTATGAATGATTCATGTAATTATAAATTGAATTGCACCTTATACTTGAAATTATATATATATATATATATATATATATATATATATATATATATATATCTATAAGCAAAATAGTCTGCTTTATAAGAGAGAATCAATGTAAATCTCAGCGTGCTTCCAAATCATAATCTTGTTGTTTTTCGATCGAAATTTCTTTCTTTGAGAAAAACAAAATAAAAAAATGAACTCAAGTCGAAGGCGAACGAATGGAAGAATGCGATCGGTGAAGCGAAAGTCTTTAATGCTGACAGATTTGGATAAGTCACATCTGTTTGTTCTTAGTTAAGCAGTTCAGTCTACAAAGGCGTGAGCGGGAACGCGCATGCACACACGAACAGATCAATCCACAGACGCTAAACAACGTACAATCTTTTCTCTTTTTTTTTTTTTTTTTACAAATGTCTATCTCCGTATGTTCGTATCTATCTATCTATCTATTGATTCACTAAGCACAAGGCTGCAACAATGGGATCGAACTCATTACCAGTCATAGTTTTTCTAGTGAGACAATTTAGATAACCACTGCATCACACCAAAATGCAATATATATATATATATATATATATATATATATATATATATATAGAGAGAGAGAGAGAGAGAGAGAGAGAGTGAGAGAAAGAAAGAAAGAATTTTAATTTTAATTTAATTTAATTTAATTTTAATTTTAATTTTAATTTAAAAATTTTAATTCTCTCTACCTTTGTAGAGAGAATTAAAAAATTTTCGCTTAGTTGATTGTTGTTACCTTCAGCATCCCGACTCCAGAGTTTCGTAGACGGACTCTCTGGAAATCACTACATCCATTCGTCAGGGGATGTCAGCAATTGACTGTTTATACTTCTCGATGATTATTCATATGCACTTTTCATTGGTACAAGTTTTTTTTCTAGGTACGCGTACGTGTCGAATGTCGTGATTATTTGTTCTTTTCATCGTTTTTCATTTTACACTCACTCTATATTGCTTTGTTATTTCGCTGGCAACCTTTCTTTCAAAGAATTTCCAACTTTGGAAAATTATTACCCCGTATTCGAAGCCTAGCTGCTTGTAGTACATTTTCAAGACTTCTTAGAAATCAACAGATGAATCGCGAAAGACTGGACTATTCAAGTTGTAAATTCTGTTCAGAAATCCCTTAGATTCCTGCTTTCTTCCGACAAAGATTTTAAACACTGAGGCAAAAATAACTATATATGTAATTGTGAGAGAAGTTCTTTCTTTTGTGGTAAATATTAATTATACAACAATTTTGATTAATTTCCTTTGCTGATTTTTATCATGGTGTTTTTAGTTGAACTGTCGGGTATTCTGGAAAAAAGAATTAAGTCGAAATTCGGACATTGGTATATTACGCACCAAATAACGTAGAGTTGAATGTTTCTCAAAAGCCATCTGTAATAGCAATGAAACATCAAGAATGAAGTGAGTACAATAGAAAAAAAAATTATTTTATTCTTCTCAACATTCGGACATACAAAACCCAACAAGCAATTCTGTTCATAAATAGAGCAACATCTATACAGGATGCAACCAAATATTGTAGCTCAGATTCTAAAAATAATAAAATTTGCACTTTGTCATTATTGAGACATTGAAAAAAAAATCGGTATTTCTAGACTAATAGTTAGTAAACAGTTTTTTCTCTTTTACGCAAATTGTGGGTAGATGACATTTGACGCAATTCCCTCACAATAGATAAAAGTGCGCATCTTAACAATCGATGTTTGCAAAGCTTCTGATGATTCATTTCGAAACAACTAAACTAATAAACCGATAAAGGAGGGAAAGAATTATTAAGATTGCGTGGTATTCAGTATTTTTAGTCATAATTGTTATTTCTTCGGAGTAACGTAGGAAAAGAAAGACGTTGTTCTACAGGAGGAGGCTGAGGATGCCATGGAAAATGTGAGCAACAAAGAAGTTTCAAGTGTGGGTGTGATAAAAATACAGTTTTAAATTATGCTATATTTATGGTTTAAAGTGCTCAATATCAGAGATATATCGTATGTAAATGGCCTGGCAATTGCACTTGAGCATGAAACAGGCAGTTGGCGCTGCGTGCTGACTTCAATGCTACTGTTATAATATATATATATATATATATATATATATATATATATATATATATATATATATATATATATATATTATTATTATTATTATTACTTCACAATTGATTTTAGTGTATACTAGCTGTTGGACAAGACGCTCTTTGTATCGGCCTGCGCACTCGACTAAACTTAATAAAGAAAATGTTGTCTCCTACAAAGATAGACGACCGTTCGAACCCTGTTGAAGAGTACAGTTTCCGCAAATGCGCAGGCTAACATTCTTAATATACACTGTTTAAAATTAAAAAAAATAAAACTAAAAGAAAAGACAAAAAACGAGAAGTCTATTTCAAACACGGGGAGACACTAAAATAAATTGAATTTGAAGTAATAAAAATATCGGCTTAAAAATAAATTCACTGTTTAATAAGTAAACGCAGCCTCGACACAAATGCGAGTATCCACTAAAAATAACGTTTAACCAATAATATAAAATTTAAGAAACAGAATATATTTTTATATACAGTGCTCAATATTAAAAATATTAAAATCGTATTAAAAATAGAGCGTTAATTATATTATATGAAAAGATTAATTAACTTTTAAATATCTATTTTATCACGACATCGATTTTTCTTGGTAAAATTTACAGTCTTCAAGGGCTGTGGTTTTAAACAGTATTTTAATATGCCGTTTTAAAACTCAACCCCTGAAGTCTGGAAATAATATATATATATATATTGTCTTTATGCACACCTACAAATACATGCACACACGCACGCGCGCGCACACACACACACACAAAATCGATCACCCAGAGATTCAGGAATATTTTATATATTGGTGAACGTTTGAAGAACTTGCTATTTCTTTTCTTTTTCACCCAAAATCCCCCATGAGG